GCTACAAATGCCCTCTGCTGGCTGGTCAGAGAGGCCTCCCCGCCCAGCTTCTGTCCTAACAAGCCCACTTGAGGGACTTGCCTGATTAGCACAGTGGAGGGGCTGATCCTGGATCTGACAGGGACACATGCCGGGGAGTCAAGGAGGGGGAATGACTGAATTTAAAAGTCTTAACAAAGATAACTCCTCCCTATTCTCAAAATGGGATAAAAAGCAATTAAGTTATTGGCAATTGAGAGGTGCAAAATTTCTTCCTGGGGTGAGGCACCCATTTGCTTAACTCCAGTAAGCCCAGGAGACTGTCTCTGAGCCGCACACTGACACTCCACATAGACAGACACTAGAGACAGGTTCTTACTGGAAGCCGCTTCCCTCTCCTTTCTCCCAGGAAAAAAGAGAAATGAAGGACAGCTCAGAAGTCTCCAGAGAAATCGGCTTTAAAGAAGACAGCTGTGACTTCACCACTCTCCCCACGGATAACACCCCTAGGGCTCAAAAGTATTGATCTTTTATCTGTCTCATATAGAACGGAACTCTGAAGATCATCGACCGGAAGAAGAACATTTTCAAGCTGGCCCAAGGAGAATACATTGCTCCAGAGAAGATAGAAAATATCTACCTCGGGAGCAGACCAGTGTTACAAATTTTTGTACATGGGGACAGCTTACGGGTAATACATTGCTTTTTTAACAAGAGCCACTTTTTAGGCCCAGACCAGAGTTCTGTAGCTAAAGGGGATTTACATAGGTGGGCTCAGGATAATAGCCTAACCTATAAAACTCTATTCCAAACCTTGAATAAGGCAATGCCAAATAATTTCTTTTTCTAAAACTATGATAGCATTTGTAAACAAGTTGGTAAAATTGTTAATACAGTTATACTAAAAGATAGCCATTTATTAGAAAAAGAACTCCACCATGAACTTAGTTTCCACTCCAACAGGAGTGCCTCTAGCCCCACAAACTACTTATACTCTACTACACGTAAAGAGGTTTTTAGGGGAGGAGTGTGTGGGTGGGTTGCCATGAACAGGCCAGAGATGCTCTAAGCTTAATTTGGCAGTATCACATTTGGATAGAACATTTTTATAAGGGGATGATGAGTGGGAAAGTAGGAAGAGTTCCGTGGAGGCTTGAATATGGTGAGAGAAGAGTAGGACACTCATACTGAATTTGAGATTTGCTGGAAATACCTATTTGATGGTACATAATCCTGCTTTCTCTACCCACGGGGGGACATTGCCACACTAGTTCTCACGTGCCTGAACACCTCTTATTTCCTCTCCATAGTCATCCTTAGTGGCAGTGGTGGTTCCTGACCCAGATGTGCTTCCATCATTTGCAGCCAAACTTGGGGTCAAGGGTTCCCTTGAAGAACTGTGCCAAAACCAAGTAAGTCTTGCTCAGGAAAGTTCTATGCAGACCCACTGGGCCATACTGTGAGAAGAGCCCTACCAGCCAGGGCACCCCATCCATGGGTCCCCAGAGCCTCCTTTCTAGAGGAAGAGACACATCCCACACCTGTGACAGATGGCTGCAGCTCCAACACACTGAGTCTCATAAAGATATTGGGGATTAGTACTGGGAGTTTAAAAGATAAAACTATTCTTTTTATAGAAATATGTTCATTATGGGAAAAATTGGAAGAGTAAAAAACAAAAGGCATCCCCCCCGCCAAAGAAACCCTGTTAACATTTAGATTTACCTTTCGTTTTAATTTTTCTTTGATAAGTATTGGGTATATAATGGGCTGGCACATAGTTTTATATCCTGTTTTTATTTTTTTGAGAGAGTCTCACTATGTCACCTTCTGCAGAGTGCCATGGCATCACAGCTCACAGTAACCTCAAACTCCTGGGCTTAAGTGATTCTCTTGCCTCAGCCTCCCAAGTAGCTGGGACTACAAGCACCTGCCACAATGCCCAGCTATTTTTTGGTTGTAGTTGTCATTGTTTGGCAGGCCCAGGCTGGATTTGAACCCGCCAGCTCCAGTATATGTAGCTGACGCCATGTCCACTGTGCTATAGGTGCTGAACTTTCTGTTTTTATTCTGATCAACTTTCACAGGCATTTCAAGTTGGTTCATGCTTATCCTTTGACGTAGGCTTGCTTGCATTTAGAGATGTTTTGTACCCTTAGGTTATAAAAGCAGCTATTTTACAAGACTTACAGAAAATTGGGACAGAAAGCGGCCTTAAATCCTTTGAACAGGTATCTACATACCTCTATTGATATTATTCTGGTCTTTCATCATATTAGAAAGTTTTACTTAAAGTTTTCATTTATTATGGGGTTTAAATGTATAATAGCTACATGACTGGTTTTCTACTTTGTGCTATTAACTACAAATCGCAGTGACCTTTTGTAGTTATACAGCCTCTGTTTGCTGGCTATTATCCAGTTTCCTTCTCCCTACTCCTTTCTTTCCCAAGTAACTTAATTTTGTGAGAATGGCCATGTGCTACTGTTACCTTTACTTTCCTACTGCGTCAATCTCACTTTGGTCACAGACCCCTCAGGGGCTCTGAAGAAAAGTGCAAATTACTAATAAGCATGTGGATATGTCATCTTCTCTCCCAGGTCAAAGACATCTTTCTTCATTTAGAGCCATTTTCCATTGAAAATGGGCTCTTGACACCAACACTGAAAGCAAAGCGGGCAGAGCTTTCCAAATACTTTCGGACCCAAATCGACACCCTGTATAGGACACTCCAGTAGGTTGAGGTATGTAACGCAGGAGGGGCTTGAGGCAGCCTGCCCACCCAGGCTGTACTGCTTGAGGCAACAGGGTTCAAAACCTTTTTTGGTCTTTCCTCCTATCTGTTGTTTTACCTAAGAAACTATAAGCTATAGTTTGTTGGCGGGGGCAGGGTGTTAAAGCATACCACGGCACCTTAGCCCTAAAATAAACAAATCCTGTTCCTCCCATCTTAAAGCAATACTAAGGCTGTAGGGCCACTCTGATCAGCACGCCTGTCTTCAGGGCCTTGGTTTGTGTTCTATGTCCCTGTCTCAGGATCTCCAACTGGAATGCTGTGTTGATAAATGGCCTCTGGATCTGGGGTCGAAGGGACTTCTGTGGCTTCTCCTTATTGTTTTACTAATAAACCTAACTTGCCGATAGTCCCAATGCTTATTTAGGTCTTCTAATGTTCAACTAAGAGAGCTTTAGGTTCTGAAAAGCTATTTATAATTCATATTTTCTAGTTACTTTAGAAAACCACTAAAATTTTAAACTGAGTTTTAATCTATCATGCATATAAAATTTTTTCTATGAATACTAAGTCTGTGTACAGAAGGGAAAGTTTGATTATACTAAACATTTCCTAACCTCTCCATCCGACTTGAGAGTAATAAAAATTAAGGCTGTGATATATTATCCAAAAAGAATGCTGTTCTCAAAAGTGTTATCTACAGTGGTAGCTGGTGACTCAATCTGTTCTCTACAGTTTGTTGCTGAGCTGGAGGCTATGGGGGAAGGAGTTGAAACTACCTACGGCCAGTGAACTTTTCCAGTAAATGAAGCAAGCACTGAATAAAAAACTCTTGCACTGGGAACAAAGATCTATGGGGCAAGCACAATGCCCACACCTCAGGCTTATCTTCTGTGAAGGAACCAGCTGACCTTCCCCCACCCTTGGATTCCAGCTCCTGCTGTACCTTACTCCAGATAACATGCATTGCTTCAACCTGTAAATGTAAAGTCTGTAAAATAAACTATTACAGATATGTAACGTGGTGGTGTTTGTTGCCTCATGGACCATAATCACATTTAAAAATCACATAAACTAGTGGTTCTCAACTTGGCTACACAGTAGAAGAATGTAGGAAGTTTAAAAAGATACTAATGCCTGGGTGCCACCACAGGATTCCCGATTTAAATGGCTGGGATACAGCCTGGGCATTGGAATTGTTTGTTAAAAGGTCCCTAGGTGATTGTCGTCTGCAACCAAGTTCAATAACTACTGAGGAAAAGCAAGTGGAAAGGACTAGCCTTTCTTATCCCATAGCCGTGAATAATTAAGCAAACACCAGCTAAGCCAAAACTTCAACTGAGCATATAATTCGTATTCTTTCTTCTTCACCATCTTTGTTGTACTCTAAGGAATCCTTTAATGTTCTTTTCTGGCCTTTACTAGAGGTAAAGGGGATATTCTCAGATGGTCTTTCCAGACCTTGAGCCCAGAAAAAGTCTATTCTTGCCTAGCTGAAACAGACGGGAAGGCAGGAATTCACTTGCAGGGCCCTCTTACCTCTCTAACCTGCTCTCCCAGTCCCCCTCACTCACTACAGCTGAACCTCACTGCTGCCTTCCTGCTGTGCACCAAACATGCCAGGCACATTCCAGCCTGTTTTTGTTCTGCTAGCCCCTCTAAAATGCAGGTACTCCCAGAGGCACATGACTTGTCCCCCTTTCTTTCTTCATAACACATGACTCCATCTGACACATGTTGTATTTGTCCCCCTTCCCACCCTCACTGGAATGGGACAGAGTCAGGTTTCATTTGCTGCTGAATCCTCAAGTGCCCCTCCCTTGCTCGTAACCATTTCAAGCCTGGCTGCCAAAGCCTCAAGCTCCCACCTTATAAAGAATTCATGAATACAAGATTAGGAGACTGAAGTTCAGAGAAATAGGCTTTCTCTTTTTTCCTGTGATTTGGCTTCTGTGTTTAGACAGGCCAGACTTTAAGTACCCACACTAGCTATATCCTACCACTTGCACAAGCTTCAGTCTTTGCTGTATTCAAGAGTACATGAACACTTTAAACCACTGATCTTAATATGCCATCAGCAAGTACAGTTCATATACTGACAAGAGTAGTTAATGTCTTGTGATTTATGACTCCAAATGCCAAATTTTCATAGGGTAGCAGAGCAGCTTCTTCATGAGGAAATTAACAAACTTTTTTAGTCTTTCTTCTGGGAACCCTGAAGAAAGAAAGTGGGACAGTTTCCTCAGACATATCTTACTTGAAAAATGCTTCAAGTAAAAACTATGATTTATAAAGAACATCCATGACTTTGAGTTGACAAAATCTGCATTATTAAAAGACAGGTAACAAAATTTGAGCTTATACTGAATCTGACAAATTGAGTTCTATAGTATCTCGAATATCATTTAAGAAATATCAAGTGAAGGAAAGACAAAAGTATCACATGCAGATGCTCCTGGCAAAGGGAGAAGTCTATCTGCAGGTGAGGTCCAGAGTGCAGTTCATAAAAAATCCTATGGAAAATGCAATTAACTTACTTGGATGAAATGTTTTTCCTTGTGGAGGGAAGAAGAGGTGATAGGCAGGAATTCAAAGGCATATGCAGAATGGCTTCTCCATTTCAAAATGGTAACAAAAATATTTAAATCATGGCACTAGGGCACTTTTGAGGAAAAGAACACCTTAACCAGAGTAGGCTCATTGCATAATTCTTTAGTAATATGTAAGATTTTCAAGTAATGGAGCAGACTGAAAGAATAATTTGATTTTCATAGCAGCTATCTGTTTTTCTTCTCGTCTGCTGGGGCTTGATCTGCTTCAGCATCACAGGGGCACTTTTCCACACAGTTTCTAGGGAACCATCCTCTTATTCTCGAAACACCTGAGGGGGGAAATGAAACTGAGGTGAAACAGTCAGTAGCATTGCTGAGACCAGTTAAGGCCTATTACCTCAAACGAATAAACCTTTACTTAGTCCCCTCCTCCCCACGGTCTCTTCCAAGCGCAGCTTGGGGGAAAAGTACATCTGTCCCTTTGTACATCTGTTCAAAGGCTATTCCCTTATAGCCTTTGTGAATGTTCTTTTCAGACTTTTCCTAATTTAGTAATTTCTACACCAAAGTTGCCTATGCTGTCATATGGGGTTAATTTATGATTAACTCTGGTTTTTAAAGAATATCCTAGGCAAATGTCTACTTTAAAAAGTAGTGATTCTGGGCACTGGCCCCATATGCCAGAGGTGGTGGGTTCAAAGCCAGCCCCAGCCAAAAAAAAAAAAAAGTAGTGATTCTAAAACTTAAAAAGTTTTGATCCATTAGTTTTTATAATATTTAAGAGAAATGTTCATTTAAAGAGGGAGCAAACAGCACAGGGGGTCGGTACACAGAATTTGGAGTCAAACTGTTTGGGTTTGAGCCCTGGCCCTACCTGTTTTTAGTGAGGGCTGGGCACACTGTTCAGTCTCTCTGTGTTTAGTTTCCTCACCAATAAAATGTCAATAGTAATACCCACCTTGGAGGTCTGTTGGGGACTTTATGGCTATACTTATGCAAGTACCCATCACACAGTTAAGTATAAGCTCAAATACATGTATTAGCTATCGTTAAAAAGACCTGATAAAGGGGTTAGCCTCAAAAATATATATATGTAAAAAGATCTGATAAATATGCTACAAAAAATATCTAAGAAGCTTCTTTTTATTGCTTGATGATGTATTCCTTGACACAGTTCCTCTAACGCACTTCCATATGATTACTTACACAAGTTATATGTGTAAAATCTGGAATTCTAACAATATTCGCCTTTAAACATGCCCTTCCACTTCCATACCTTCTCTGAAGTAATCATCAAGAATTTTGTCTCCATACAACCAGTATCTGAAAGACATAAAAGATTAAAAATTTTTTAAAGCAAAATGTCAATTTTGTCATGAGAGAAGGATTACTGGACTTCCCATTACTTACCGTAAGCCTCTTGTGGCTAAAATGAACTCCCCCTTCTGTAGCTGTATTCGAGGCTCTTCGGTGCAGGGGCTTGTGAAGAAGGTTTTGATTCCTTTATTCAAAGGACAGCAGGCACCATTATAATCTTCTATTACTTTATAGCGAACCTGTCATCAGTGATCAGAAGAAAAATGTGACTATTTACCAATGATATTGAAGTTTTTTAAAGTTTGGATTAAAATTTTTAAAGGTAGATCCAAAATACCCAGGGATAAGCCTTCTTCCCTAAACTTTTGCTATCCACCTAGTCCCCTTATAGGAAGCAAGTAATGCTTCCAATTCTCAAGGGTTTTTTCTACCTCCCATTTAAAGCACATTCTAGAATTAAATTCTAGAGCAGAGCTGTGTAAGAGGACTTCCTGCAAGGATGGAAATGCTATATATATTCTGTATCTCTGGTATCTAGTGCGACAGCAGGAGACCAACCCATGTAGCTGTTGAGCACTTAAAACATGGCTAGTGAAACCAATAAACTAATTTTTAAATTTTAATTAAAATAGCCACATGTGGCTAGTGGCTGTCATTTCTGACAACATAGCAGTAAGAATGGGTTTCACAGTAGTAAGTAGTAATGAGCTATATTGAGGATAATTTTTTTCTACATTGCCAATATAAATTAACTATATTCCCTCTAAATCTCCAATCCAAACTATTTAAATTAAAAAGAAGTGAACTGCATCAAATTCCAACAAGTGTATTAAGAAATATTATTCAATAATAGGAATAGTTGGTTTCTGGTCAAAGACAATTAAATAAACCGAACAGAAGTGTAGAGCCTGATGAAAGAAAAAGACTAGTATCATTGCAAAAGAATTACTTACACTTCTGTCTCTTTTATCTGCTTTTTGTTTCAACTGTTCTATCTGTTTGGAAGATACAAAAAGAAAAAAATTAAGTCTCTTGTCTCAATGTTGAAAAATAGCCTTTCCTTATCTATTAGCAAAATGACATAACAAACCCCTAATTTTCCAGCATTTCAACTTGCTGACAGTTTATAGGTTGTTTGGGGATGGAAATAAGGCCCTATGGCTGAGAACCAGGAGCTGAGATGCAGACTTTCTTTTCATAGTCACTCCCTAATGTATTATCTGTGTATTCTTAGAAAGCCCTCTGTGACCCGGGGACCAGGGACATGTCTTCTCTGTCCTCATGAGGATTCCAACTTAGTACTTTAGGTGAAGACATTGAGATTTGCTGATTCTTAGAAATACAGCAAGCAACCTACAAATGAATAATGAAGTTAAATGAATGAAAAAAAGTCACATTATAACTCGCCTTTCTCGATTTAGAGACTATTAAATGGTATTGTTATATATATTATGAGAAAGAAAGGTAATAAATAAATGCTTTCTGTCCTAGAATCTTATAAAGTTAAGATATAAGATATAAGAATTAAGTAAAAATATGAGACTTGAGCTACCACATAGTAGTATATGATTAAATGCCAAACCCAGATGTGTCTAGAGTAGGCAGGTTAGATTTTATGGAATAGGTGGGACTGTACCTGGTCTTAATAATTCCAGATATAGAGGAACTCATAGGCAATACTGTAGGCAAAGTTAGGTAGCAGGTATGCACAAGGAGTTCACATGATACTGTAAGTTAAAAGGTAGTTTTTGGCCAGATTTTGTAAAACCAAGGTAGGTAATCAGGACTTTATCTCACTTTATCAGATATGGTGGGTTAAGGAAAGATTAAGACATGATACAAGGAGTGCTTTACAAGGCTCACCTTAGATCACTATGAGACAGTGAAAATATCTGTTATTTATTTTATTATAAAATATCACAAAGGGAAGTTAAGGGGGGAAAAGGTGAGGAAAAAGGAAAGAATATTTGAACAAAAAATACTCACTGTTAAGCTGTACGGGTGACAGCCTTCTTTTATGGGCCATTCCAGTCCGTCTCCTTCAGGAACCCCTGACCACGTAAATACCTGTTTGAAGTTCTTCCATCGACTTCCCATATCATAGGGAAAAACAAAGGCTTTATCTAGTTGGTGATACTGAATTCGATCTTTAGCCTGTGGGTAAAAAAGACATACAACCACAATGCCTCTGTCTTAAGTGGCCTTAAGTGGCTTTTAGTCCTACACTATTAAGAGCACTTAATCCTCAAATTTGTATCATTCATAAAAATGCTTCCTCCTTGTCATAACATTAGTAAACACAGTAGAGATAGACAACTTCATCATAATACAGAAGAACTTGACACAGAATACCAACCTTGTACGGGATCACCCAGAGAATATCTGACAGAGTTTCTTTAGGAATAAACATTCTTAAAGGCTTGGAGTTAGCTAATTTAAAAAAAAAAAAAAAGAGTTCGCTAACTTTATCTCATAAATAACAAATCCCCAGTGGTTGTTCAGCAACACAAAAAATCTGACTATATATAAAGAGATTCAGGAGAAAGTAAGGGTTTATTCAGGAAGGTACTGTTTTATTCAGGTGGAGCTGTTTGTAGGGTGTACCAGAAAGCAATAGTTGTACCGTGGGTGGCAGTGGCACCTGAGGGGATGGCCAGGAAAGGTATAATGATAGTCATTTTATGAGAAGCATATTTTTAAAAGCTAGCAGGTATGATTAGGAGGTCTTCTTTCATTTTTTATACTATCACATATGTACATATACTCACATATATACTTACATGTACATGTTTGGCTTATACATAAATATTCATCTTGGATAAGTTATAATCTAGGCATTTAAATTGTTAGCTTTAACTTAAGGAAATGAACTGTCTTCAAATTTCTTAAGTTCCACTGACACCTAGTGGTACAAAGATACATTATTTATTCTAACACTAAGTGTACATACTCCATTGAAATTTATTATGTAAATTTTAGTGTCTGGTAATTTCAATACATTTTTTGTAAATTTAATATGATAATTTATTTGAATTACTCGGCAATAAAAGTGCCAGTTCTAGAATAACTTCTAGATGTAGCACAGCCTAGATCATTAGCAAAAAAAAAAAAGCTAACCTAATGTCAATACTTTATTTCCTATACCTTAATTGAAATGATACTTTGTGTAATATTTGAATACTAGGGGATAGTAAAAGCTTCCTGCAGTTACTTAAAGTGCCACTAATGTTAATTAAAAGAATCACCAAGCTATAATCCATATGAATCTATTAAATTATACAGATGCTCACCTAGATAAGAAAGGGTGATTTTTTTCCCCCTGTTTTATGAATAAAGCTTCAGAATCTTCAAAACAGACTGAATTTTAAAGAAATTGGCAAATCTTGGCAAAGTGGTAACTATGAAAGTAGTTTACAAAATGACTATGATCTATCTTTGCTTAAAAGCAGCACTCAATAAAGTTGGATTCTATCAACACTCTGTGTTAAAAGGTGACAGAAGGTGCAGTAGGTGTTATGGGAAAAGGGAAAAAGATTACTTAGCCAAGTCTAGGGAGGGTCAAGGAAGGTTTCTGAGGGAAAAAAGTGCATTAAGTCTTAAGGGGTAAGAAATAAGTTTAAAAAAGGGAAAAGTGTCCTAGGCAGAGGGAACAACACGGGCAAACATAGCGAAGAAAGAGATGTACATTTGTGAGTAATCTGTTATCAAGTATGAGATGGGGTGAAGGGTGGGAAATGAAGGTGGAAAAGCAGATAGAAAGGGGGAAGTCATGAAAGCTCTTATGACGTAGAAGCTCAGGAACTTGGACCTACACCTGTGTTTTAAGGGTTTTCAAAGCAACTTTTAGCTGGTTTGTGATAAACTAATAGCTACAAGCCTTAGCTGACATGTAAAACACATTGGCAGGAAGTTCCTTTCCAAGTGGGCTACCTTCTCCTTTAGTCTTAGAGATAATGGCCAAATAGTTCTCAAAGCAGACTCCTTTGAGTCTCTAAGACTTTTTCTTAGAGTTCAGCAAGGTCAAACTATTTTCATAATAACAGTAAGATGTTATTGCCTTTTATTGTGTTGACATTTGTAATGGTGGATAAAACTGCTGGTATCTTAGCAGGAATCAAGATAGTGATACCAAATTATATTAGCAGTCATATTCTTCACTAATAAATACTTAGTTTTAAAAACCCGACAGTTTCATGTAAGAACTGTCTTTAATTAAGAAGTTATTTTTATTAAATCTCATCTCTTAAGTACATGTCCTTTCCTTTTACTATTCTGTATGAGAAGTGCACAGAAAGCATGCACAGGGAGAATGGTTACCCCAAGGAAAACACTCACAATGAAAGCTATACAGCCAGCTTTTTTCATGTAACAATATTTTTATTTGAAAGAATAAGTAATGTAATAGTCAAACTAAGATTATTTAGATGCCAGTGTTTAGTGTGCATTTTCTCAAAGATAAACGAAGTCAGGCTGTCAGTTCAAGGGAAACAACTGACAGTGTTTGTGGCCAGTGACAAAATTAAGGCTTTCAAGTGAAAATTGGAATTTTAGAAAACTTGTATCTATCACTATGAGATGGACAGTTTTCCAATACTTAAAGATTTTCTTCATGAAATTGATAGTGATATAAGTGAATGCAATTTTTGGACATTGCATAATGAAAGGTGTTAATGTTTGGGAAATCTACATAACATAGCAAACTAATATTTTTGAAATGACAAAAGCCCAATGTTATATAAAACCACGTATTGGTAAAAGATTCATCCAAAAATCAGACAGATTGGTAGATTTTGAAGTAAGAAAATCTACCAATTATAAAGAAAATCTACCAAGTATAAAAAGTTTACTGACATGAAATATCACTTGTATTGAAGAATATCCACTATCCTCTAAAAGGCCTATTAAAATACTCCGCTCTTTTCTACCTACTTATCTGTGTGAGGCTGGACTTTCTTCATATACTTCAATCAAAGCAACATATCTCAACAGATTGAATGCAGAAGATGTGAGAATCCAACTGTCTTCTGTTAAGTCAGATATTAAAAAGATTTGTAATTAAAAACAATATCACTTTTCTCTATATATTTTAATTTGGAAAATTATTTTTCATAAAAATGTTATTTTTAATAAAATGGGCTTATTAATTTTAAATGAAATCTTTCAAAATTCCGTTAGAAAATATGACAAATATCAATTGCTATAATACACATTAACAAAAGCTCTTTAGTAACCTCAGCAATTTTTCAGACAGTAAAAGGTTCTCTGAGACCAAAAAGAAAATACCTGCTGTAAATTAAAGTTCACAAGCTGGTTGCCAGGGGGCTAAATTTATATCCTATAGATGTGTTTTATTTAGCTAACAAAGTTTTTTTGTAATTTGAATTGCTTGCTAACATTTAAAAACTGAGAGGAAATCTCATAGAAATCTAGGTCTCTAAATTTTCTAAGAAAAAAATGTAAAGATCTCCAAATGCTAGGTGAATATTCCCCTGTGGCTATAATCAGTGTGGTCTCTCAGGCAGTGCTGTGGTGTACAGGCTGACTCCTCTCATCAAGGTTACCTGCCTGGACACTGCAGGCATCTGAGTGATAGCAATTCTCTGAGAAGTTTTAACAAGCAGGATAGCTAGATTTGTGTTTTATATTAAAATCATAATGAACAATGTGAAGTACTTTTTGGAAGTTGTGAGGCCTGTGACAAGCTAAATGTGATGAGCCTTACCTAATGTCTAAAACACTAAGAGAAACTTGATGGCACCTTAGTAGCATGGAAGTTCCTTTCTTAATGGGCCACCTCTAGTCTGAGAAATAAGGGCCAGATGGTTTAATATGTGGCTCATGCCTCTTTAGCCACTCAAGGTGTATGAGAAGCATATTTCTGTGGGAACTACATTAAGCCAGGAATGAATCAAATGGTTTCTGTATTCATAGTTTAGGTGGCATGCAGAAGACAAGCCATTTGGCAGCCACGTTTTAACTTTTAGGCTCTTATTAGTATGTCTGGCCTATTAATCAGTGTTTTGGTGAGAAAAAGTAATTACTAAAATTTACCTTCTCTTCAATCCATGATTCAATAGATGTTTTATTTCCGAGAATTATTTTCATCTGGAAATAAAATGATAGATAATAAATTTAATAATGTGACTTTGATTCATTTAAGATCATCACATTCCTAGTAACCCTGTGAGAGAGCTTTTATTGCTCTACTACATAGATAAAGACACTAAGGATGATAGCAGTTAAGTAACATAGTTATTAATGGTATGTGATCCACCTGACTCTCAAGTCCTTATTGTTAACCACTGCACTACTGTGCCTCTTGAGAAAAATGATTACACCCACCCCTAATCAAATCTGAATCTAGTATTTTAATCAAAATTAATGCCTTATGTACTATCTTCTGGGCAAGGGTTTCAGAGTATTACTAAAAATTGATTAATCCATTCAACCAGTATTTAAGTATATTTTGCTATTTTCCATTCAACCAGTATTTAAGTATATTTTGCTATTAAAATCCTTTACTACTATTTTTAATTAAATTTAAATTTATGGTTATCTCTTTATGACAAGCAACAGTGACTCACTGCAGTCAACTTAATGTTCTGCTTGAGTAAAAAATCAGATGTACACAGTATTTAATTAATTTTCCCAGATATGATCAATTCCACATAAAGAGATTTTTACACTACTAGGTCTTAGTTTATATCTAAATTCTACCAGATATTAGTTTATTTCTAATAGGATTCTAATTAGAGGTACTGGGGAAAAAATTTCAAAGAATTTGGTCCTAGGCTACTAGAAAATATAAAGTGTAAGTACAACCAGATTATTTTAAAACTAAGAACTCAAAATAGGTCAGGTGATGCAGTACCCTCAAGCCCAGCACTTCTAAAATAATTCTCAAGGAATTTTTTCATTTCCTTGAAATCTGACTGTGCTTGTAGATAGTGTGGCACAGTAAAAACATCCCTGGACTAGGCGTTCTCATCATATCTCAAGGGCCTAGCACAGTACCATGGGCCATAAGAGGCCTCTGATGAATGAATACATTAATCACATGACTGCAAACAAGTCACAAAAACTGTTTTTGGTCCCTTGTCCCTTCAGATCCAGGTCTTCTTCCTCTGTGTTTTAATAGCACTTTGTCCACAAATCTAGGATATACATATAGTCCTCTATTAGTCAACTGTTTACTATTGGTCATCAGTTCTCTATTTCCAGTATTGTAGTCTCAGATATTAGTAGAGTGATTCACCACAGAGCAGGCATTAAATAGTATCTATATTATAGGGTCATTATGGAGAGTAAATAAGCTAATGCATGCAACATGCCTAAAACTATGCCTTAAACATAGATGCTCAATGAATGTTAGTTATATTATCACGATTACTATTATTATTACATGGATGCATAAAATGGCATTAATAACTATGTAATAATAAGTAAACTAAGAATATGAATGGGTGACCTTTGGTAAGTCACTTAACCTTTCTGAGAATGAATTATTCATCTGTAAAGAAGGGAAAATAGTTAATACTCCTCTACAATACTTCTACTACAATTGGGCTGATGTAAAAAAGATCAAGAAAGACTGGACCCTAATGGTGAGGAGAGCTTTCTCAACTAGAAAGTGCTAAATAACTCCAAGTTAACATTTTAAATTAAATCAACTACCTAGAAATTCTGGCAAAATTACCTCAAAGCTATCCAACAAACACAGAGAAGATTAAATTAGTTGAAACACCACATGTACTTGCTGTTAAACTGGAATTAACTGATCAGCACCCAGGTGCATAGATAGAAGGAAAACTCAACAGAAATTAAGAGGGTGGAAGGGGAGAGGAAGGGATGGATGAAATTGATACAGGAGTGAGCTGGAGGACCTGCTGCCTCAGCCCTGGTGGTGTTGGTACGGCAGCAGCTGGCAGAGGAAGTAGTGAGCTGGAGGGTAGGCAGGGGGCCCTTGTAGAAGGCTCCAGTAACCAAGGGGCCAAACAACTGCTGGGGAGGCACCAGCACCTTAGGCTTCCCTCCCCTTGGACTGGTGGTTGAATGGGAAACCCCCCCTCCATTTCCTAGGCCTGGTCAATTTCATGGAAGGTTCCTAGGCCTGGAAACCAAAGGGATTTGCCATTCATTTGCTACTGAGTTCCAGCTAAATGTAACTACACAGGCCCCATGTCTGCTAAATGTAACAACTGGGTTCCTGCTAAATGTAACTACACAGGCCTCATGCCTGCTAAATGTAACAACTGGGTTTCAGGTAAATGTAACTACACAGGCCCCATGTCCCCTAAATGTAACAACTGGGTTCCGGCTAAATGTAGCTACACAGGCCCCATGCTTGCTAAATGTAACAACTGGGTTCCAGCTAAATGTAGCTACACAGGCCCTATGTCCCCTAAATGTAACAACTGGGTTCCAGCTAAATGTAGCTACACAGGCCCCATGCCTGCTAAGTGTAACAACTGGGTTCCCACTAAATGTAGCTACACAGGCTCCATGTCCCCTAAATGTAACAACTGGGTTCCCGCTAAATGTAGCTACACAGGCCCCATGTCCCTAAATGTAACAACTGGGTTTCCGCTAAATGTAGCTACACAGGCCCCATGCCTGCTAAATGTAACAACTGGGTTCTTGAGTTCCCGCTAAATGTAACTACAGAGGACCCTATGACTATATATACTATATATAACCCTGGACAAAGAGCCAAGAGAGACAGACAGACAGACAGACAAAGAGAGGGAGTGAGAGAGCTCTTTCCCTGTCCTGGGTTTTCTCTGCCAGCAGCTTTGGCATTTTTGTATTCTTTTCTGTAAATAAATCCTGTCTTACCACTGATCTGTGGTCAGTGGATTCATTTTTCAAATCACTGAGACCAAGAACCTACTGAAGACAAAACTCTGGTATCAAAATAACACCTAACGGTACAATGTTATACTAACTGGGTGATGAGCACACTTATAATTTTGATTCAAGCAGTGCAAACACAACCCATGTAACTAAAACATTTGTACCCCTAAACATATTCAGAAAAAAAGATTAAATTAGTTGCTAATGGAATAACCAAAAGTAATTTCTACTTCAAACCACATGCTCAAATGTAGTCTTTATGTCTTCCTTTTTCATCATAATCAATCCCAACAAAGTGACAACTTTTAGCCAGAGGTAACCAAGAAACTTACCTGGATAAAAAACAACATCCCAACAGCTATGGTTGTTCCTAAAGCTAATCCCAAGGCAAACAAGGTGGCAGCAAATGCAGCTAATCCAAATGGAATGATTGGAACAGGGTCTCTCCGGGCTGCACTCATGTCAATCTTCACTGTGCTCCATCCAAAGGAGAGCTATAAACAATGACAAAAGCACTCACTCAGAATACCTGCTGCTGTAACAGTCGAAGCAACCTGATCAAAACGATGACAACTGACATTGTGGCCAAAGCCAGTGAAGCAAACATCTGTTTTAAACTAACACTGTGGGCTCGGCGCCTGTGGCTCAAGTGGCTAAGGCGCCAGCCACATACACCTAAGGTGGCGGGTTCGAATCC